TCTTAAAAATAACGGACATCCGTACTTATACCAACAGAGAAATTACAAACATCCAAAAAATTGGGATTTTATTATTTGAACTCAAACAAGTAATTTGTACTTAGCCAATATTTTCACCTCGAATAATAATCAGGTTTTCATGTTGTTGTAACTTAGAGAAAACCACCTTCAGCTGGGATAGTTCGTACACTCACCAAACCATATGCTATCCGCTTCTCCACTTATTTTGCAACATATTAATGGCTGTTAACGGGCGATTATATGGCATATTCCCTATTTGAAGTGGCGCCTCTAGCTTTACCTTGATGGCTTTGCGGCGTTTAGTTAATTCCAGTTGGAGCCAGTCGCCCAGGCAAACGCAGTTGGCGTGATTTTGGTGTTTGTTTTGCTCTTGTTGCAGGAATTTATGTGAAAATTGTTGTTCGATATTGTTCTTGAGCATTTACGTATTGCTTATGTGGCAGGACGCCTAAATATCTGGTTCATGCAATGATTATTTGGTATACCGAGCATGATTCCCGTACTTTTCGACGACCGTCTTTCAATGAATTTCTTTGCAGCTTGGCGGCAACCTGTACTTGATTGTGAATTTTCTCTATCGCCTGTTGTGCAGTACCTATTTCTGTTGCAGGAACTGAAGAATATGGTTGATATCGAATTTGTGCATGCTTCCGCACTTTTGTGTGGAGTTTTGATCTCTAAAAGTTGATGGAATGCATAGATACAAGCGAAGATTAGTGTTCACAAATAGGCAGAAACTGCGATATATTTTCTGACCACTTACAACATTCACTCGCAGAAAACAGCTGTTTTCCGCCAAAATTTTCAAGTGAGCTAAATGCACACTGCAACATGCTAGTAATTTGGGGAATATGAATACCATCCTCATGATCAGGTACGTAAGGACATCTGAGATGTATGTCATTTCTTCCTATCATCGAGTTTGGCCTCATAAGCTTCCGATTTTGTTGTTGTCCTGACGACATATTATTTGCGTTTATTCAAATTCAATCCTATAAATTATTTTGAAATCGTGTAGAATTAGTGTCCGACATCTATTAAAGCTGTGGACGTAAGGTTTAAAAGTGGTCGCTATACCCACTTAAGGAGGACTCATCGATGTCTGCGAGCAAGGGCCTCATATCATATTCCTAAATGCCTCCAGAAGCAAAAAGAAACTTCAGAAGCTATTACTGATGAAAACAGGAGCCTGCGAAACATATTATAGACAGGACATAAAATGGGTGTTTGCGCACTTTTTGAAACCTATCCACAAGACGTGTTCGGGGCGTATCCTCAAGTTTGTGGAAGCCCAAGTGTGATAAGGAAGTTTAAACCACATTTGTGAGTTCCGAAACTATTCGTCATCACACGAAACCCTCTTTATTAAACTTCGTTTTGATACCAGTCAGTGTAGATGCACTAATACCTCTATTATTTGGTTGAGTGATCATCATTTTTATTTGGGCCGTCAATATATAAGTTCACCTAAATTTGTTTTCTTAGCTGTCAGCTCCCTATTAATTTCATACGTATTCCTATGACAAGTCCATTTGTGATCAGATTGTCCAAAATGTGCTGTGGAAAGACAACATTACACGATTCAGACAAATTAAGTTTTCTTATGACTTTGTCTAAATATCCACTTGTGTCAAAAATAGTGACTGGTGTAATCGCACATTGATACAAACTTCCATTAATCCTTACTGTGCTAATTTGTCAGTGATTATATTAGTAGTTATATTCATTTATACACGCTATGAACCCTTGTTTTCTTTTTTAGCTACTCTGTAATTTCAGTGACCTCGTGGGATTCGGTGCTGAAGAAAGTGGATTCCAGTATCGTTGATTTTGTATTGTGTGTTGAATTACTGATAAATATATTCGCTATACCTCAAATGGACTTTCTACTTGTTAATAGTGACTACTAACTTTATAGAATGTTGAGTGCTACAGAGTTAGGGAGATTAGGGTAATGTATGTATTGAGTAGCGCGTTTAGAAGGTACGTGCGCCTCTGAATAATATCGTCTTCAATGTGCAGTACACTCTAGTTCTTGTTATAAATTTGTAAGCAGTAATTATTATCAGTACCTATTTTTTGTGGTATACAACGAAACGTACTTATTCAACAGTCTAAGGTTAGAGCTATCCTTTAAAAATGAAACAGGTGCTTACGTAAAGGAAAACGGATTATTCGATTTCGAAACATTACGTAAGGGATAAATTTATTAGCATCGTTTGCATGCGAATGGTCATGGTTATATACTCAGAAGTAATGGTAACTTGTCGATAGTTTAAGGGATGCCTTGAGTGACAGGAATATAGATGGGACAGTGTAACTGAGTAACAGTATAACTCGATAAGCAACATCAACTGGCAGTATACACATGTTTTGAATTAAAACATGATCGGTCAAAGTATGTCGAAGACAGAAGTAGAGCAGTCTCCTGAAACTATTAATTAAGAGGGTAACTAAATTTGTGTATCAATAAAGACTGAAAGTAAACGGAATATTGGTGAGTGGCAATGTCTAGGCGTAACTACGCTGGACTTTACACTGTCCTCGGAAGATTTTCAGGAGCCATGCGTAATAACCAAAGCAAGAGTCATTCATTCTTGCACCTATACAGAGCCAAACATTAGGTTATTGTACACAAAGTCTAAGAATAAATGTCATAACAATAAACCACAAAAACACTTCTGATAGTTTTTCTCTTCCTTCCAACGAACAGCGGACGATGAGACCATGGCTGACGGATGGATGACCCGTGAAAACTAAAACCCGCGAAGTTGGGTTTGAGAAAACAACCATGAATTGATCGTTCAATCTTCAACTACATGGACAACGGGCCTGGCTGAGAATGTTGAAGACGACACTGGCTGAGGCCCTGGTGGAAAGTTATCGAAACTAGATCATATTCTAACTAGTGACCAACTACCTGTCGAAAGTACTCAGATCATGACTTTACCAGGAAGTAGCGACCATGCGGTCATGGGATGCAATCTTGTTCTTCCTCAACACTTGCAGTGGGACGCTACGCGACCATATCTGTGCTATAACAAGGCGGACTGTGCTGAAATGCAGAGTCTTTTATCCGGAGCAGAATGGCACTTAGCATAGGATAAATTATCTGCGGATGGACACTGGGAAGTGGTAAAAGAGATCATTTACAAAGCAATCTCAGATACCATGCTTTTCGGTCACAAGACAGCCTGGTGACTAATCCCCAAATAAACCCGACATTAGTGTTAGGGAAGCTTCGGCAACTCATACTTTGGAAGTCCACAGGTTGTGACGACATCAGACCATCTGTTCTGAAACAGTGCAGCGTAGCTCTCTGTAGGCCCTTATGCGACCTGTTCTAAAACTCGATGGATTCGGGGAGGCTGCCAAGGGAGTGGGAAAGAGACATCATTTTTCCGATCTTCAAGGGTGTGGATGGGCGAAATGCCACTGGTCATAGACCGGTAGCCCTACTCCCAGTGGTATCAAAAGTACTGGAAAGTATTACTGATGATCACATCAGGGACTAATAGACTCCAATATAGTCTCAGGAGAGGTATATCCTGTGCAACAAAGCTGTTATCAGCTCGGAATGACTGAACACCACGATGGGATATCAATGCATCTGTGCATGTGATCTTCTTAGACTTTGAGAAGGAATTTGACGCGTAGTAAGATACAGTCAACATATGGATGACCTGACATTCAAGAAACAGTTACAAAGAGATGCAAAGTTAACTTTCTGTGAGAAACAACCAATCAAAAGACTGTGTTTGTTTGCTTGAATAAGCTATAATAATGTACATGAAAATGTATAAATACGTGTTGATTTCCTTAATAAAGGATCTGTTGTCTGACCCTTGCCTTCTGTCATTACACTAGGACCACTGATGTTTTTGATTTTCATCAATCACCTACCATGCTGTCTTACCTACCAGACACTCCTATACGCTGACAACGCAAAGATATGGAGGGCATAAAGTATTCGGAGACTCGGATAGGCAAACCTAAAGCTTCTGGAAGACTGGGAGGCGACCAGTGGTATGACTTTCAACCCGAAAAACTGAGAACTAGTGCAACTACGCACCTGTAGGCTGCAGAATGCAAGTTACACCATGTGTAATGAAAGCTCGTCCTGCACAACGTCAGAAAGCGACTCGGGTATATTTATAACAGAAGAATGAACACAGGCGTAAGTAATACAGTGGATATAGCTAGGGCATAAGCGGTCATGCACCATACACATAAACAGTTGTGTGCACTCACTCCTGAGCTGTTCCTAAGTTTGTACAAAGCATACGTTATTATTATTACCTCTTTTCTGTTAACGACGATTCTGGAGGACTAACTGGTGAAAGGATCAATTCCACTCAAGGTAGTAACAAATTCTTAGCACACTGCATACTAGAAACAACATATAATTAATCCCAGCACTATTCCTGCTGGGGTCAACCCAAGCTACGACAGTCGATTGACAGGATGAACCACAAAGAAGCTTACAGAAGATTTGGAACCTTTACATCACAGTCAAGAAGCGAGCACACTGAAACCAAATTGGCTAATATTATCCCGTATAAGCAATAGTGGGTATTGGATACACCTTGGAAAGAATCAAAAATTCAAACGCGTATCATTTAACACAGTTAGAAACAGCAATCGGTCCGAAAATGCAGCGTGTAAAATTTACATAAAAAAGGGAAATCTGGGCAAACGAATAACCTATCAAGCCTTAGAAGAAGTTATATAGATAAAAATTGGTGGTTGGTTAAAGGTAGGATCAAGAACTATTTGTCACTTTAATTAGCCCAAATAAGTGGACTACACTCTTTCTCTTAATCACGAAATGACAGGATCGTAAAAGTAGGGTAAATATTAGAAACAAAGTTCTTCAGGCATTTTCATTTTTAAATATTAAGCATCACTTGTTTTGCTCAATCTTCAATTGGCAACAAGACTTGGCAGTCTGGTCAACATTTTGCGCTCATTAGGAGCAAATGGGTGATACCGGTGATAGGTAGGTTGAGTTTTTGATTTAAAGTGGTTTCCATTCGAAAGATTTGACTGGTACCAGTCAGAAAGTAATGTATGCATAAATTATCTTAGAAAAAACTTAAAGCAGTCTGATGTCAGAGTGGACGTACAAGAGCAGTCGGTAAGATTGATAACAGTGCAATGAAAGTCTCGATACAGGTTTCTATATTCCTTATAACTACTAGCGGTGATGAATTGCTCAAGACGTTTAGGCTGTCTCACCCTGTTGTGCCAGAAAAGTCATCATATCGTGTCACAGCAATGAAGATTGAAGTACAACTGAGAAAGGCGACTGAAGTTAGGTGGAGTTATCTCGAGTCGAAAAACAGTGTGAACAACTCTGAAACTCGTAAGTTTAGTCCGAATAAGTACTAAATAAATAGCAGTGTGTCTGAAACTTGTTTGATTTAGTTATTTTGTACTATTTAATTGTGAAACCGTAACTTAATCAGTTGCTTTGGATTATTGTGTAAGGTAAAGTCGGTGATTTATCCGCAAGTAAGAAAATATAAAAGTCAGATTATGTCGGCTGCATGATCCACTGGTCTTTATATAAGGAGGCTAAAATATCACTAGTATTTTAGTATGTAAGAGTTAAGGCATGCTTGGCGTGTGAATATGCTCATCCAGCTGAATCGCTTATTTGAAACACTAAGAAAAGTTCTCGTTCATCGTTCTTTTGCTTTGTCATTTTCCTGCTTTTATTTAAAGCCTAGATTTCATTTTCGCATATTATTTGAGAAGTAAACTCCGGTTTTGCTTGTTTTTGCTTTAGCCAAATCTCAGGATGTTACCAAAATTGTTCATTCTTACCCATCTTCGAGCAAGTTTTCACATGATTGGAATAAAATCGAAAAAGAAGCATCCGAGATCGAAGATGAAGAAGACCCCTTAAATAAGATGTTCAAGAACATTTATGCAAACGCTTCTGATGAGACAAGAAAAGCAATGATTAAAAGTTTTGTAAGTGGCATTTCATTTTACTGATCAGATCGATAACTTAAATATGAGTGAATTACTTTCGGTTTATTTATCGTTGATTTACGGATTTAAGCGGAAGAATGAAAGTTTACAGTGTGACGAACTCGTTCTGTTGATTGTTATCTTCGTTTTCTGACAGTCATTTGTGTTTTATTTGCATATATTGCAGTAAGCAGAAGTTTAATTACCTCTTTTCTATGACCTGTAAGCTTGTGTTGCACAAAAGTATTTAATTAATTGTTATAAAACTCACTTATTCCGTGAAAATCTACTCCCACTGTTTTAAGTGAACGCATTCTATTTGCATGTCATAGTATCAGCTTGTCACAGTTATTATCTGAAGATCAAGTAGTATGTTGTTTGTCTGCCTGTTTTCGAAATAGAACTTTGCACATATGTGAGGAAGTTCAGGTTGCCACACTCCCTCCATGTAGCACACAAAGAAAGAGAAGAAAGTAGAAGAAATGCATAATAGAGACAGTAAACAGAGGTGTGAGACATAGCAGGAGTAATAACGAAGAACAAAAGTTTCATTGGAAATCATAAGTCACAAGGAGTGGATGCATCTGCGCCGCTGAGAACGATTTTGAGCCGTGTCCCCAATTGTTTCCAACCATTGATTTTTACCGTCCCGAGGACCCCAGCCTGGAAGTCTACACCTTCCTACGTGGCTTAGACCAACTGTTGTGGATTTCATTGACTGGTGCCATGTTTTTGTTTGACCTCCGCTAGCTTTTTTCCAGCCTGACCCTATATCACCTAACATTGCCCGTCGAGGAAGGCGATGACTACGCATGCGTAACACATGTCCTAACCATCTCAGTCTATGTAACTTCACGACGTCATCGATTGATTTCCCCTGCTTACCTAGAACTCGACGCCTAACCTCAATATTGCTCACCTTATAATGTCACTTCACACTAGAAATAGGACTCAGGCACTTATGATCAAAGACAGCTAATGTTTTCATGTCTTCCACTCTCAATGGCCGGGTCTCAGCCATAAAGGATGACGAAGCGGACTCCTGAGCAGTACGCACGCCCTTTGGTCGAAAGCCAGATATCACGTCTACACTATGCGTAAACTGGCATATGCGAAACTAGCTCTCTGCGTCCGTACTGAGATTTCGTCACAGATCAACCCGTTGGCACTGGCTGATGGTACTTCCCAAATAAGTGAAGCGGTCAACGTGCCCTACCACTTCACTTCCCATTTCTAATCTAGGAGTCGGTGTAGTGTAGTCCTGTAACATCATCTTGCATTTGGCGGGAGCGAATCGCATGCCAAACATTTGTAAATTGCAGCTCAAGGTGTTTGGAAGACAGTGCATTTTGTCAGCGTCCTCGCCTAGGAGGACTATATCGTCTGCATATTCTAAGTCAACGAGATTATTCCCTGGTAGCAAGTCAATCCCTGAGTCGCTGAAATGAGTTAGGGTTAAGTTCATTAGTACATCTATGATGAAGTTGAATAGAAATGGGGATAATGGGCATCCTTAACGGACACCGCTGGTCGTCACCAGTTCAGATGACAGCTCGCCGTAAGCCCTCACCTGGCTGTATGAGTACGAGTAGAGTGCCTTAACCAGTGCAATGAATTTTCTCGGCATTCTCCTTACAGCCAAGCGTCGCCAGAGATCCTCTCGGTCGACAGAGTCGAATGCTGCCTTTAGGTCAAGAAATATAATAATTGTTGGACACCGGTAGGAATGGCTATGTTCTAGAATCTGTTGGAGGGTGAAGTATGTTGTAGTATGTTGTGAGTGAACATGAAATATTTTTCGCGATAATAATTCAAAGTTATAGGATTCTGCAGAACTAACATTCTGCTGATGTGCCATTTTCGCCAAATAATTCTTCAGGGCAACCTTCGGTCATCTGTTATCATGCAAGGTTGGTTTTCCGTGACGATAACTGTTTTGATTATTGCCAATTTCTATTCAATCAGTTTGGCAGTACAGCTTGTCTAGCCACTACCTCATGCGTGATAAGTGTTGTCAGTCTATTTGGGTCACAGATGTAGTTGGCTTCTCTAAAGACAGTTTTTTAAGTAACAGTCTTACACTAGGAAATTTAGCAGCAGGATACGTCGGATATTTGTAGATTCTTACCATCTTTACTTATCTCAACTGTATGGGGTTATCTCGACTTCAAACAAAGTCCATAAAGAGATCGCCTTCGACCAAACGCCAAGTCATTTTGTCACTGAGAACAATTCATTTGAGGATATTACAGTAAAGGATTAGTTAACTGCATTCACTAGACTACCGGCTGAGGAAATGTAGGTGAGTTCACCTATTACAAAATTGAGTGACCTGCTGTTCTTCATATCTACATACCCATCTGAAAGCTGGGGAAACAAAAAACAAGACAGAAGTCTTGTGTGCTTCATAAATTCTGGACAAATACCATTTCAAACGCATGTGAATCACGCTCATTTATTTGATTGGTTTTACAACAAAAGAATGTGGCAATATAGTCGTTCTTTGAAATAAGTGGCCTAATTTAGGCTACTACACCTTGCTATCATCACACGTTCAAACCAACCTAAACCTAAAGTCTTATTTTGTTACTGTCAGCCAATCTTTTTTGGCATACAAAGTAAAATTTAGTTTCTATCCAATTTGGCGGTATCGAACTTTATTACTGAATAGTCAGACTGTTATATTAAACTAGTCTTTTTGTGTAATTTTTTGTTGAGTGGTGGTTTAAGTAAAGCAGGATTTCACTGATCTTATCGGGTTTGACTACAATGTATCCATTTTATTTCAGACGGAATCAGCTGGTACAGTACTAAGCACAAACTGGAATGAAGTTGGTGCGGGCAAAGTCGAAATGAAACCTCCGGACGGAATGGAATTTAAAAAATATGAAATGTGATGTTGAATACCGCTAGCTAACTTGTAATTATAAGTATTTTTCAAATAAAAGGAAGTATTCTTATGTTTGTAACTCCTGCACTTAATAAATTATGTTTTTTGTTTTAGAGGTGAAGTCTCAGCAGGGGTAAAGAAAGCTGTTGTGGAGTTTATCACTTTCCGTCGCGAAATATCCATCCATTCGTCTGAGGGATAGTATGTCATGCAGCTACCCTTCTCGTAATGATTAAAGATTGTGTTACACGGTCATTAAAATCAAGACAAAGATTGTAGGTTCCTCTAACCATAAATGCCTTTTATTACTTGCGTGTAGTAGTAAGTATTGTGAAGACTAGGCCCATTCAGGTAGCGAAACCAATTTGATCAATTAGATAGTGAATGTTCATCGACTGAAGTTGGTAAGATATGCACTACACATGCTGAGCCATAGTGCCCAAGTTTTATACTTATATCAATACCACATCTACCTACTTTGATAGTGTTACTTAAGAACTAGGACAACGTTGGGGTAGCGGTTAAACCGGACGTGAAATACTTACATTTCTGTCTATTTATCTTAGAACTGTTAGTCGTTTTATTTAGTTTCTCGCAATTTAAAAATAAGGAATATGCCTGAATGATACGTTTCAAAATTATTTTTACGAGTGTCGGTGCGTACGTTACTCATCAATAAATTTCTATACATTTTGTACTAATTTTGACCTCAATATTGTTTCTCTCACATTTATCTGGTTGAAAAAGAGATAAATAAAGTTATTCCTGTACACATAGTTATTCTCTTTACCGTGGCTATCGGGCTCATTCACCTAAGCACTCTCAGTGAGTGGTCCTTAGGTTCGAAATCCGTCTCACCCACTTCAGCCTGGACATTTGGATAGTATCTCTAGCACATAAGCAATGTGTTACTCGTAACCCGATACGTGAACTGTTTGTTACAGTTACTGAGTTCTAACCAAAACCAAATTATTTCAATCAGTTCCTAATTTTGTTGTGTTACGAAAGAAGTCTTTGAGTTGTATGGTTACTTGACGTGTATACTTCAGCTTCCCACGCATTATTTGAGTGTTCGTTTTTCCTCCACCTCTGTTCTCTCTATTTATTACTTATCTAACTGCCAGTCTGTACACCGTCATGTTTTCGTTTAGGGTTGATCTATCTTCGTAAGCTTCTGGTTTCATGGAACAATAAATTTACCATCAATTAGAGAAGTAAGGTAAGCTTATATAAAGAAGACTGTTTATCATCTATTCTCTGGGCTACATAAATGAACATTCGTGAACCTTTGCATCTCATTTTAAAAGTAAAATGACTTTGCAATTTTATTAGGTCATGAAATTTCCTTCTAACCTTTACTTAAGTAGCTTGTGACACTTATTGGTGTTTTCGTGGAGAAATTTTCATGATCGATAACAACTTATAAATCCAAGTGTTGCAAGAGAAATTCGAATACAGCGAATCATTATAATAGGAAAATTACAAATTTTACATATTATTTCGTTACAACTCGGCAACACTGTCTCATTTAGATTGTGAAAATAACCATTTGGAGCAGGCTGATCACTCTTAGTGGTGTAAGGTCTGCCAAGATTGCCTAAAAACAAAAAGATTAACATAGTGAATTGATATTTCGTCACAGCATTGCATCTGGTGTGGATATTATTCACTCAGTACTATAACACACACATACAAAGAAAAACAACAGTTATATGAAGCTCCAATCATTCCTCATAATCCCTGCGTTTTGAAACAGATTCCACACATCTTAATTCGGAATGTGGCGACTTGAACTTCCGCACATTTGTGCAAAGTTCTGTCGAAAACAGACAGACACATCTTAATTACTTATAATTGACGTTGCAACAGATCAGTGTTTTTGGTACCGTTGCTTTCCAGTAGAACTACAGTTTTAATCGATAGGGGGGCTGTTGACAAGCGTTAGCTTGCTCAATATTGGTAGTAAAATTCAATTAATATACTCTAAACTGACGTTTTGGTAATTGATGATGAAAGAATCGTGCCTTATTTGATGAAACGGGAATCTTAACTGTGACGTTGTCCGTGTAACAACTTTTATGCCATATTTAAGCATTGTAATATCTACTGTCGAATGCTGTGTTGAATGTACTGTCCTCAGAGTCCGAACTTCAGTGTCTCGCTAGACGAGAATTTGTATTGTGCATTACAGATGAGTTTATACAGTGTTTTGTAATCATATATTAATAATAGATTAGTTAAAGATTATGCAGACACTCAATTAGTCACTGTTTCGGAGAGGAGTGTCAGAAACTGTTTTGTAAAACCAAGTGTGAAAAACATTGATGAATTCGACTCTTCTTCTTGATGAATCTGGTTAGGCTTCTTGTGGTTTCGGACTAATGAACAGAACTATCAAGAACTGACACGATGTCCATCCCAGAAACTAAAAGAGTCCGTGATCTAATTTGCCATTTTATCGGAAGATATCTAGCGTCATTAAATTGCTAGTAGGACGGATAGGTTTTAAGTAGTTGCAGACGTCGTTGACTCACTTTCAGTGATGTTAATTAATCAATCTAAACTACAACAGTTTTCTGTAACTGACAATATATCGGTGTTTCATAAGAAAATAAGCATGGTTTTAAATAATATCTGACTGTTTAGTTGAATTTAGATTTCTCCGTCGGTTGATTGAAACGAAGTGCTCGTTCTCAGGTGGACATATCAGCTCCTTGTGCAGATGCACCAACGATGTCTGGTCGTGTAACTTGAAGTCAACTGGTTGATGGTGACGGGAGAATCTAAATTGAATTAAATTATTAATAAGACCCGTCAGACAAGAGGTAGCTCTCATTACCCGAGTGCTCTAGTCGATAACGCTTTGGCTCTTGAGATTATGGTCACTGGGTCTTAGCCTCTTTGGGAACACCATCATTCACTGGGGAATGCAGGTACATCCAACTGACGAGTTCCGAATGGGATGAAGTTCGCATCCTGGATTCCATTGCTAGTCACCATCAACCAATTGGATTTCCGACTACTTTGCATTACATTTTGATTGTTAGCTGTGTATTTGTAGAAACATGGTACAATTTTTCAAACGTAAAGGCTTGGATATCGTATGCACATTTTGCCTTTCAGTTATTAGACTGTATCCGGTCTACATATGATCGTTGCATTTCTTGCGAGTCTTAATGTGGCTTCAATTTTTTCACTTCGAATTTCGAATGTAGTTTCTTTTTTTAATTCTGACTGAAATTGGTAGTACTTTTTGTCAGCCGTCTCTTTTGGACTGAATTAGGTCAGTTTTTCTTCATCTACACTTGTCAGTTAAATCTTGATTTTCAAGGTGCCAGAGTTGATGAAGTTTTACTCTATCACCAAACATACTGCTTAAAATGTTTCTAATCAAAGTGATAGACTTCTGTATCTTCTTCATGAGAGTTTAACCAAAGTTTTCATTTGCTAAAAGACTATTTGAATTCATAAGTAGTCTGTCTTATTTCACTCTTTTTTACTTTATTGTGTTTTAAAATCTCAGCCTGTATAACTAATGGATTGTATCGATTCACATACTGTAAATTTGTTCTGACTGCAAATAAATAATACAATCGACGTGTAGTGTGTGATGGTCGAGTCTAAATATGATTTGTCTCTAGTAGGAAATGTTTATAATAGAACAGAAAAACAAAAAATCCTCACTTCAACTTCATTAGTTGTTTTCACAGAAAGTAAATTGTCACGGCGATAAGAAAATATAGCTACAGCCAGAACTAGAATAAAATAAATATTCAAAATACAAAAAAGATAAACATGAAGTCAATGCCCAGAGAATAGTTCAGGGCAAAATAATAACTTTATTAAGATCAAACTTTTAGTTCATTGTTCACGAAAAAAATGTATACAGAAATGTTGATCTATGTAGCAAATATCTGATGCTGTTTAAGGAATATAGCTGTCTTGCAGCATTCTGACGAAATCTGTAAACCGTAGTATCCTTCACACTTTCATAATTATCAAGATTTTCGAGTAACGTTTTAAAAATTAATTTTTATAGTGCCTTTGTATGATTCCAAAAAACAAACCTATTTTTGACAATTATGAGAAGTTGTGACCAGTGAGGTCCATCGAGTCAAGTGTGAGGATGGCTGGCCCACAGATAACATTGGTTGGTGGTCCCGTTAAATCACGAATTGGTAGAAATTATAATTCATGGGCCATTGACTCGGGTCCAAGTGGCTGCTGAATGGTATACGAGCTTGCCCTGTAACCTGGGTTCGAACCCTCGTGGTGAGTGCGTACTGCCGATGATTCCCAAACTAGGATGGAACTGCAGTATTCGCTGGCTTTCAGTGGTTCTCTAACCGATATCAATCCGTGATCAATTCGTAAAAATTATGCTTTCTTTTACATGGATATCTGCCGCTGTTTTTGCCAGTTTGAAGTATGGCTATAATGGAGATCTGTAGCTCAGGTGAATGATTTTGGTAGAGTATGCTTTTATTTTCACCGAACAACTATGAATTATGTTTAAGTTTTTTCTTTATTTTTTCAGCGAGAAATGCTCTCGATTTCTTTTTTCTAAGATGTTGACAATTTTTAAGCCGTTTTTCGCAACTTTTTACTAGTCATTCAAGCTGTGCTCTAGTTTTAAGATATCTTACTGCTGTGTGCTATATAAAACGTTCTTACAGTTTAAAAACAAAAAGGGACTTTGATGCTTTCGTTGTTAAAATTCTACGATTAGTGTAACTCCTGAACAAATTGTCAAAAACTGTTATCGAATACAGAAAATTCGTTTGAAAACGATAAATAATCTTCGTTTTTGTTTTATTTTCGTGAGACGGACTACTGAGCAATGTACACGGAAAGAAAACCGACTAAAGTGTTCCTCACTCCAGTTAATTATTTTGTATTTTCTAGTCTCTTAAATTACCTTCTATCACATTTTGCTATCCTTTTATTTCATAGCCAATTTCCTACAGAATTATTTGTTTTGTTTATTTAAACCTAAACTTTATTCAT